TTAAAATATATGAACAATAATTGCCCATGTCATGCGTCAGCCTTTTTTGTGATCCATCAACATCAACGTAAGCACGGAGATGGTGCGTGACGACAACCGTCCACGTCATCTCTCTAATCTCAGGAGTCTTGAGACGGGACTAAAGAATTAGGATCCCCCGATTGTACAGCTAGTTTCGAGTTAGTCCCATGGCTTCAAAAACAAACAATTAAGTTGCTTAAATTAAAAAATACTTTATTGTTTCCATCAAAAACCACTAATATAAGTTCTTGCACTGTCAAATGCTACGTTGCAACTTTTTTGTTTAATTAATGTCACATCACAATACATTAAAATATTATTCACATGTTAATTTCATTTAGTTGATATTATTGATGGTTACTTAATCATTATTTATTAAATCAACAATTTCTACGTCAACAATTAAGGTGATTAAGACCAACGACTTGTTGATCAAAATAGAAGGATTTAGATTCCCTTAAATAAGGTTTTGAGTTCAAATCTTATGAATAGAAAAACAGGTGTTAGGAGAGTTTTTTCCTTAATGAGATTCGACGTGGTTCGATTTTGAATTAATCAAGATTCAATATGGTTATCAGATACTAAGAAATTAATACAAAAAAATTAAGATGATTAAGGAATAACGAATTCCAGTGCTACTCTTTGGAACTTTAGACCATCAAACTATTGCTCTATTCAAAGCAAACATATTTACTTCTATGTATTAATTAGGTAAATAGTTATGATCACATAAAAATCGTCAGATATTTAGTTTGATTTTTAAAAATAATTAATAATTATAATTATTAACTATTAATTTATAAAATAATTAACTAATAATTTATAAAATTATTAATATATTATTTAACAATTTAAAATCAACATATATATTAATAATTTTAGGTACTTTAACTAATTATAAATTAATAAAATAAGTTAAATTAAATAAATTTACTATATATATACATGGCCATGGCCATGACCTAATAGTAATATAATTTATATCTAAGTCATATTTGATTGAAGCTTTTTTGTTTTATCTTTCGGCCATTTCTTACTTTGTGTTTGTCAAATTTTCGTAATTGTCATGTTCAAGCAACACTTGACATGCCAAAGCCCAATTTTCTTTATGGTATTTTATTTTTTTCTATTGTTAGATTATTAAACTATGAAAAACTGTGTTACAATTTGCTCTATGACGGACTATAATATCAAAACCATTAAAAGGGAGATGGCTCTAATATTGGAAATATAAAGTACCTACCATATTTAAAAAACATTAGAGCCATCAATGCTACTCTCCCTTTTTAATGGTTTTGATGTTACAGTTCGCTACAAGATAGACTATTATATAGGATACCCATTACACTATATAAATAAAAATATAATTCTTCTCACTTATCTTAAAAATTTTAATATTGATATTTTTAATTTAAAATTTTAGAATCTAGATTCTTAATAACTAAGAACACCAACTCTAAAGCAAAAATTCACCCAAAAAAACCAAAAAACTCTAAAGCGAAAGCATATGAATCTAAACACAAGATGAGTGAGATTATAGCTCATCTTGGCAAGGGATGAAGCATGAACTCGGTTTAATTAACATTTGATTTTGAAGGTAGGAGAATTAAGTCCAAAAATAAAACTATTGTTCCAAAAATGAAACTGAGTCTAAAGTTGAGGATGCTCTATACCTCTTGTTTTTTCCTCTCTCTCTTCTTTTACTCTAGAAGCCGTATTGGCATTATCCTTTTTTTTTTCTTTTTTCTTTTTTCTCTTCTTCTACTCTAGAAGCCGTATTGGCATTATCCTTTCTTTTTCTTTTTCTTTTTTTGACAAAAATAATGGTTAGAAGTTAGTATGAATTAATTATTAGTAATTAAAAATTTGATTTTCAGACTGGGTGAATATTTCATCTCCAGGCACGCGATCATCAGATCACTTTTTGGTAGAGTTCACAACTGTGATAAAACTCGAAACTCTGACCACCTCATCCAAACACTTAAAACTTGAGATCGAACCATTGGATCTAAAAACCTGATTCGTATTGACATTATTTCTGTACGCAGTAATCCCCCCACCCCCCCCTCCGTATGATTACCTTACCTCTCCGACCATATCCCGACTTTATTTCTCCAGTCAAAAAAGTCCTCCATTCTTCCA